TTCTCCCCTAAAGTTTTCATTTTAATGTAAAACCCATACATGGCAGGTTGTGGGCCGGATTCTGGGGGACTGAGATGAATTTCACTTGACCTCTCCTTCCAAGACCTTTCTGGTCTGGGGCAGTTGACAGAAAAGTGGCCAGACTGTCCAGCCCACTTCAATCTCACATGCAGGTGCACACCACACACAACCAGAAAAGGGGAGGACCTTTTCACGTGTGAGCTTGGTGAAAATCACAGAGGACTTCACAGAGGCAGTGGCACAGGAAGTGACTCCTAAAGGAAGGTCCAGAGAAGGCAGGGGCCTTCTACGTGGAGGTAACAGCATGTGCAAAGGCCCAGAGGCTCCAAAGCACACAGATCCATGAAAAATGAATGGGCTCAGGGCAGGCACCAAGAAGTGGGGATCCTGGGAACGGGAGTTGTTCAGAGAGGTGCAGTTGAGATTTAGACTCACTGTAGGATGCGTGTTTAGATGGTAAAACAGGCATGCTAACATTTCATTGGTCATTCTGGAAACAACACAGTGGGGCAGTTCACACTGGTCCAAGCAACCTGTAGGTCTTGCTCATTGTTCTGGCCTGTGCTGCGCTTTGTAAGAACCTTGCAGGAATGGGACCTGCCTTCAGCCTGAGATGCCGCCTCCCTCCTGGAATCTGACACCAGCTGGAGGTGTGGCTTCTTGAGCTTCTTTGAGAGGTTGTGTCCCTCTTAACCCAAATGTAGGTTCCCTCTGCACTCCAGAGGGCTCTCTAAAGGAACAGTCATAGTTTGGTTATCCCATGGGGCACTGGCCAGGCTGGGCCCTGCTGTCAGGAGCCAGCAGCTCCACCTCTCATGTCCTAGAGTTATTTGGAATAACCAAAGACATTTTTAAAATAAGCCCCCCTGGCCTCCTGAATCTCACACTCTGCATGAGTTGGAGCCTCCAGGTAGTATTGGCAACCTCAGGATTGGCTGCCTGCCCTGATCTCTCTTGGCCTCAGTGGCCTTACCTGTGAGATGGGCCATCATCACAGCTGCCTCATAGAGGTGTCATGAGGATGAGTTGATACATGCATTGCTCTTAGAATGGAATTTAGTGTGCAACAAGGGCTCAAGAAATGCTATGTATTGGGGCAGCACCTGTGGCTCAAAGCCTACTCCTTTGAGCCATATACCAGCCACCTGCCCCATATACCTAAGGTGGCAGGTTCAAACCTGGCCCTGCTCAAAAACTGCAAAAAAAAAAAAAGAAAAAAGAAATTCTAGTTATTAAAAAGAAGGAAATGGTTTCATTTCATTTCCACAAGCTCTCCACAGCTGCCTGCTGCACATGGAGCCAGGGCTGGCGCCAGGGACAGAGGGGAGTCGTTGCCCATCCCTGGCCCTGAGCAGCTAGCGGAGAGCAGAGGCCAGCTGGCCCCAGAGAGGCACCTTGCTCCTCAGCAGCTTTGTTCAGTACTAATCTATTATTTGGAAAGACCGTTTCCATCAGCAATTGTATATTCCCGGCTACTGGCTCTCTTTGACCTTCCCAGACAGCTCAGCTTTAGGGTGGAGCCTCTGGGGCACAGTCTGAGGAGGCTGGAGGGGCTAGCTCAAGCCCCTGCCCCACCCTCTGCCACACCAAGCCCCCTTTCTCCCAAAGGTGGCTGGGGCAGTGCTGACAATCAGTGGCTGCTGCCTGCCAAGCACAGAAGCACAGGTTAGCCTGGCCAGGCCGGGGGCCCCCCTGGCCCCCTCCCTGTGCTTCCCTGTGCTTGCAGGGCACCTGTGCCAGTCTCGGTTTGCTAACCAGAAGCACGAAGTAGCAGCACCTACTCTGCCACTGCTGTGCCAAGAGAGACACTGCATGCAGAGCACCTATGGTGTATGCAGTTGCCTATGGGGCAGGGGCAGGAGACAAGCAGGGTTGTGCAGATTTGCCATTGTTACCCGGCCTCTCCTTTATGCCCCTGTCCTCACAGTTTGGCAGCTGCAGCAGGTGCAAAGAATGAATCCCTTTGTGAGTGTAGGTGGGGGGCAAATAGGCCCATAATTCAAATCCACCACTATCTACCCGCTGTGGTACCAGGAAGCTGGAGGGGAAACCTACCGGGGGACATAGACACCCAGATGCCTTCGTGGTGCGGTGTCTGCCTGCCGTCACCAGGGGGCAGCACCACCTCCACAGCCAGCAGTCCCGGGTGCAGCAGAGGAGGTACCCAGCCGACAGGGTAGTATCCTTCAAGCAAATTGCTGCTCTTACAGTAGCTCTGCCCCAGAACCAAATATATTTCCAGTAGTCTGGGAACTGATGATGTCAGGCCATGTGTTCTTGAAAATAATGATGGCTATTGTTTCCTGAGCACTTACTGTTTGCTGGGCTGGTTGCTAGGCAAATAGTTTTGCCCTGGGTCCTAGCATCCTCTGAGATGAGCTGATGCTCACAGAGGACAGATAGGCAGAGTTTCAGAGACTCACCCAAGGTCACAGCCTGAAGGAGGTGAGCCTGGGCTGCATCCTGGGTGGTCTGGTCCCACCACCTATGCTGCCCCCAGGAGCCTGGCACTGGGAGTTCTCTTGTGCTGGATTTGAGCTGTATTCCAGTAGTCTGAACACCTGTCAGGTTGTGAAGAGATGAGCGTGCCCTGTTCCTGGTGTTCCCACTAAATGAGAACACAGAAGTTCTGAAGATCCGCCTCCTCTGCCCTTGTACCCTCTGACAGAGCCTCTGATGTGGACCTAGGCCCTAGGGCGGGTGAGCAGGAGCAGGCACTGAGGTTTCCAGCTGCAACTCCAATGCCTGCTCTGCATGGGGATTTTACATTCAATTCCAGAAAACCCTGCTTTCTGCCCCTCCCCAACTTCACCAACCCTAGATGAGGTGATATCTGTGAAGATGCTGTGGATGAAAGAGGTGTGGGACAAGTATGGACACTTAGCCCAGAGGGATAATTGTCACTGGGCCCCCAGGGGTTGCACAGGAAGTTGGGCGTGGGGGGAACCCCTGTTGGATTCTGTGCCATCCCCTTTGCTGTTTAGCGTCCTGAGTTTCTTGAAACTGGAGTCTGGTGTTAGCACCTGGGCCCAGGGTACCCAGGGTGGTGCCGAATTATTTTTCGTGGTATTTACTTCCTTTCCTGGACCTGCTCCTCCAGGCTGACACCTCACCCTCATCCCCAGGCAGATACACCTACCATTCTTGTGCTGTTCAGAATATCCGTTTTCAAAAGGCCTGCTGCCCCCAGAAGGATCTGGGTCCTTCTCTGTACGGTCCTGGGCTCAAAGCCCCATCTGTGGGCAGGGGTGCCAGCAGATGGGGAGGCCACATTGGTGGCTCCAGGCCATTTGGGGCCAGTGGTTACAGAGTTCTCATTTGGCTCCCTGGTGCTGAGAGAGCACCGGCTGCTGGGAGTCTGGCGTGCAGCAGGCTGGCTTCCTAGCTGGACGCGGGAGACACAGACTGGTTTCTCAGGCAGGTGGCTGCGGGTTGTGGGCCGAGTTCTGTCTTTCTCTACAGTCTGGCCATTGTTTATTTGTGCATTCAATGTCTCAGTATGATCACGGGGATGGACACCAGCGTCAGCACAGTGCCTGGGCCACGTGAAGGCGTGTGTTGGGCAGCTGCCCTTGCGTTGGTTCTTGCTGTCCTGGGGGACTCTTGCCCCCAAACGAGGGGTGACTGGCAGAATGGGGGGTGCTCGGGCCCTGCACCTGTATCGCTGGCCTGTCTAAAATGTTGACCACTGTGCCAGTTTCCTTGGCTGCTGTAATAACTGACCCCAAAATTAATGGATTCAAACAACACAAACCTGTGATCCTATAGTTCTCTGGGCTAAAACAAGCTGTTGGCTGAGCTGGTTCCTTTTGGAGGAGGGGAAAATCCTGTCCTTGCCTTTCCCAGCTTCGGGAGGTGCCTGCATTCCTTGGCTCCTGGGCCCCTTCCTCCCTCTTCAAAGCCAACAATGTGGTGTCCCTCTGACCTTCCATAGCCATGTCTCCCTCTGACACAGCTGGGAAATGTTCTCTGACTCCAAGGACTCTGTGATTACACTGGGCTGAGCTAGACAGTCCAGAATTTCTTAATCATATCTGCAGTGTCTGGGAACATATGCACAGGTCCCAGGGGTTGGGATATGGACATCTTTGGGGGCTGTTATTCCAGCCTCAACCATTTGGCCACAGAACCTCCTGCCGACCCCACCTCTCTGTGCCTACCCTAGGCTCCAGGGGTCATCTGTCCTTCTAGGTTAAGTTACCCACCCAAGCCTGAGCATTGGCTGCCCCCCCCACACCTTTCATATGAATCCTGCTCACCTGCATGGGTCCTGCACACAAGGCTCTCTGCTCCCACACCCAGCCTCCCCTCTCCGTCTAGCCAACTCCTCATGCTTCTGAGCTAAAGGGGTTCCCTGGAGCCCCACCCAGTGCCAGGTAGACCACCAGCTTATCACTGTTGCCCACCTGGCTGTCCCACTGCTCAGCTGGGAGCCCTGGGGCAGACCTGAGACTTCTCTGCCACAGGCCCCCATGACCTATGTGCTACCTCTGCTTTAGGGGGACAGGTATGGCGAGTATGTGACTTTGTCTAGTCCCTGGGAGCCTATGGTCAGGCCCTATGACCATTTGCCCCAACTTGTTCATCTGCCCAGCACCTCTTACATCACGGCCAGCTTTAAGGAGACAGCAACAATATTTAGAGCAATGTCCCAGGACCCAGAGAGAATGTGAAGCAAATTCCTAAGATGACTGTGGCTATTGTACCTGCAGTGGAGAGGATGCTGTCCCTCCTCTGCTGCTGAAGGGCTGTGAACTCACCAGGGAGATGCCTGGCCTCTGGGACCCTGGAGGTTCTAGACAGCAGAGATCAGGTCATCCTTTGGGAGGGACAGTGGTGGCCTACATCTGCCAAAGAAAAGGAGACTCCTGTCTGTCTGATGCCCTGTGGGGCTTGTGCCTCGTGGTACAGGGCCCTGTGTCCTCACATCCTTGGGCCTGGTGCCTGCCTCCCTTTAATCAGCTTTTCTGTTCCTACAGTGTCACAGCCCCAGGCTGCTCACAGCCCCCTGGAGAAGCCACCCAGCTCTGCGATCCTGTGCAACACGTGTGGCAATGTGTGCAAGGGGGAGGTGCTGCGCGTGCAGAGCAAGTACTTCCACATCAAGTGCTTCGTCTGCAAGGGTGAGTGTCTCCAGGCCTGCAGCCCAGCCTCCTCCGGCCAGCCTCCCAGTGGCCATTCCTCGCCCTACAGAATGTCCCAGGGAGACTCCAGTCATGACTAGGAACTTCTCCAAGTCTGGAATTGCATCCGACACTGTGATTTTCCACGTGCCTGTGTCACTTGTGTGATAGAGGAATCTGCCAGAGCAGGGAGGGTTGGGGGGCAAAAGTCCAGACCCCCAGAGCTGTGCTCATACAGCTGACCCAGTGTTGGAGAATTGCGATTCTGTGGCCAGAGCAGAGTGAAGGCAAAGGCCATTGTCAGCCACATGAACCCGAAAGTGTGGGGTACGTGGGAACTTCGTGTGGCTGCAGACACCCAGGCACCTGCAGCCAGAGGTGTGCCAAGAACACTGCCAAATGGAATCACTTTAGTTTTTTCTAATTGTAACAAATAATGTAAATAACATACTAAATTCAAATAATACAAAAAGGACAAGAAAAGTATAACAAATAATTGCGTGCAGGCTCTCTCTCTCAGAAGGCCCCTATGCACGCCTCCTTCCAGCCTTTCCCTCCTCCGTACTGAAGAGAATACGTGCTCCACTGTGCAGAAATGGTACTAAACAGATCTGCATTTAATTTTCTAAAAATATATGAAAATAGCATTTCTTCATATGCAAACAAAGCCAGTTTGATGTATCTAAACCCAAAGAGTTTGCATTTGTAAAGGAATTACGTTAACAATACTACAGATTCTTTCTGTGGCAGTCCAGCCTGGTCATTGCCTCCTTTCCTGTGGGTTTGGTGTGCCCCTTCCCAGGCCTTTGGAGATTCCTGCTACCCAGGTGAAATGAGGGTTTACTCTTTTGTTGGCAAACAGAATTAGAGGAAATGTGTCTGAAGTAGGTAATTGAGTGACCTGGGGCTGCCTGCATTTGCACCACAAAAGGTCCCAGGAGGCCCCACTGGGCTGGGCCCAGCCTGCCTCTCCCAGGCCCCGAAGACAGAGGAGGGAGGCAGACCAGGGAGGGAGACAGACCAGGGAGGGAGATGAGTATGTTAGGTAAGGTGTGCAACACAATTTGAAAAGTTGACTTTTTATAGTAAAAACCAGTGACAAGGAGGGGATGCCCACAGAGAAGGATTTGGAAGCATCCAGAGAGGACTTGGTGGAGAGAGGGTGGTGTTTGGCTATAACTCGCAGACAGTAGAAATCTGCCTGTCAGAAGTGAGGCTGTTTCAGGTGGGAGGGAATCTGCCTGGCCTGGTCAGAGAGGGGAGCTGAGGCCGGCAGGTGCTGGGAGCTGGTCCAGGACTTTGATCCTGGCCAGCCTGCAGTCCCCAAACAGGGCCTCCCCTCCCAGGTTTCTGTGGAGAAGGGAAAGGGGGGAGGATAAGGGCGGAGGAGGGGGAAGCAAGGGCAGCAGATACACCCCCACCCCCAAGACCTCCGTGTCCACTTGTCCACTGTCTCCCATGCTCTGTATAAAGACTGTGTGTGGAGGGCCCTGGGGTTTGCAAAGGGAACTTCTGCTGCAGAAAGAGAAATACCCCAGACACGACCCTGATGCCACTGGGCCTGAAGAGCGTTGGAGCCCACAGGCAGGCACCTGGAGGCAGGGACAGGTGACTCAGGAAAGACAGTGAGCTGCCCCATTTTTGGCAGGGGGACAGGTGTGGAGGTGTGCTGGGTACCTAGGGTTGAGGTGGACCCAGCCCTGTACCTCAAATACCCTGTCCATGAGCATGATGGCTATTAGGGATGTCACTGAGGGTCACCTGATGCCCCAGAGTCACCCAGATCCGGGACTGCCCTGTGCATGCACAGCCTGGCTCAGCCCCCTGTGACATCTCCCCACAGTACCCTGACTTCCCAGGCACCCCAGCCCGAGTCCTCATAATGAGGACCCAGGGACACCCCAGGGTGGCAGCTTTGGGGGCTGCTAGAAGATGATGACATGAGCAGCGTGCTCCCCTACACGCACTGGGTGGGTAGAACAGGCCTGACTGGGGGTGACTGTGACAGGCTTTAGCATCACTGTCTACCCGCTTTTCCCTGTTTCTGGGTCCCCCACCACAGGCTTCAAAGCAATGGGGGTGCTCAGTGCCAGAGAGGTCTTCCCTAAGGAGAGGGGGTGGCCACTGTCCTGTGCTCAAGCCTTCCCTTCCCTGCAGCCTGAAGCATTTCTTCCTTTTCATTAGTGCTTCCCAGGGCATTGCAGCGTTTGTCTGGTTTAATTTTCGCAACTCTCCATAAAGATACATTGGCTATGTTTCTGAAAAGCCAAACCCATTAGATTGCTCTTTTTAAAAGCCTATTTTAAAAGACAAAGGGGAAGTGCTCACTTTATTTAAAAGGATTTTCCATAAGCATGGACCTTAGGCATGTAGTGAAGTACATCAGATTCCTCCCCCCACCCGTCATCTGGTGTGACCCAGTCACCTGGCAGTTCCCACCTAGTAGGTGGTGGGAACTGCCCAGGTCCTGTCCCCAGGTGTCCACTTGGGCAGGTCCCTTCCGTCTCCTCCAGTAGATGTGGTTTTAACTGTAACCCCTTCCTCACCAGCCACACTCTGACCCGGGGCCTGAGAGTCATGCTCCATCTGTGGTGGCTGCTCAAAGCATTAGTGACTACAGCCCCAAGCAGTGGCAGGAGTCTGTGGGCACCCAGGCCCAGCCCCAAGGCCCACTGCCCATGCCTTCCACCGTCAGATATAGACTATCACTCTGTGCCGGGCACTGTGTGGGCCCTGTGGACATGGTGGTGGCCCCTGTGCTTCTCCTGCTGAAGAGTGGACAAAGCAGCTCAGCTTTCAAAGGAACTGCATTTGCTTAAGCACAAGAACCCCATGGTCTAGATTAATCTTTTATCCAGGCTTTCATGAAAATGCAGTTTATAAATCACTAAGGATGCTTTTCAAGGAATTAAAAAAAACTCAACTCCTAGTGTTTTTAACAACATGGATAGTTATCATCTTAATTTAGAGTTTAGAGGTAGCTTCCCACCACTACCCCAGGGTTGATTAGATTAACAACTCAAGAGGGTCATCAAAGACCCATTTTTTTTCTCCTTTTTTCCATGGACTGTCCCCTCTCCCACATATCCTCCTACGCATAACGCATATCAGCAGTGTCTCTCCTTATGGTCTCAAGGTGGCTGCCATTGCTCCAGCATCACATCCTCACATGGTGGCATCCAACCTGGGAAGGGATGGGGGAGATGTGCATAGGCAAAGGGCACTCTCCTTGCATGATCCTTCTGCTGATCAGGGAGGCGATCCCTTTCCCTCAAGTCATCTGTTGATTTGCTATGTGACTCTTTGGCCAGAAATAGCTCACATGCTGCCCCCACTGGCAAGGAGGGGAGGGAGGATTGTGACTGACCACCATGTCTACCCTCAGGTAGAAATGTTACCAGTCAAACCAAGCTCAGGTAGATGTTACTAGTCAAACCAAGGCAGGCTCTGTAAGCAGGGAAGACAGTTGCATCACAGTCTAATTCTGCTTCAAGAGGTCCCCTGATGTGGAGTTCCTGCTAACCAGGCACTTGTTTGATGTGTCTAAGTTTACTTGGGAAAACTTGTGAAAGAAATGACATAATTTTCTTCCTGTCCCTGGATTCCCAGGCTTGGACTTTGATACCAGAAGGTCTGGGTTCACATCCCACTTCTGCCACCAACAGTTCAGGTGGATCTTAGGTACGTTTCTTTTTTTTTTTTTTTTTTTGAGACAGAGCCTCAAGCTGTCCCCCTGGGCAGAGTGCCGTGGCATTACAGCTCACAGCAACCCCCAACTCCTGGGCTCAAGCGAGTCTCTTGCCTCCACCTCCCAAGTAGCTGGGACCACAGGCGCCCGCCACAACGCCCGGCTATTTTTTGGTTGCAGCCGTCATTGTTGTTTGGCGGGTCCGGGCTGGGGATTCGAACCCGCCACCTTAGGTGTACGTGGTTGGCGCCTTAGCCGGTTGAGCTATAGGCGCCGAGCCTTAGGTACGTTTCTTAACCCAGTTTTTCCAACTGGAAGATTCGATCAACAACCATTTTTTGAGCACCTAATATGTGCCAGACACTATTCTAGTGCTTGGGATACATCCATGAAGAAACCAGACATCCCATCCTCAAGGAGACCAGTCTGGCGCAGGAGACAGACAGTAAAACCATTTGGAATGAGCCAGCAAGAGAAGGTCGCGTTGGGAGTTACAATTTTAAACTGGGTGGTCAGGGTGAACCTTGGGGAGGAGGTGGCCTTGAAGTGCAGAAGTAGGGGAAGGAATTAGTTGTTCTCCCCTGAGAAGGAGAAGAATTCTAGCCAGAGGGAACAGCCAGTGTGGAGCCCCTGAAGCAGGTGTGGGGACAGCAGGAATCCCTTGGGCAGGGGGAGCTAGGGCCTGGAGGTCCTGGTGAAGACTTTGGCTCTGATACCCAGTGAGGGACCCAGAGAAACAGCCTGCTCTGTTCTAGGTCTCTGTGGATGGCTGGGCACTGTGCCAGGGTAGGGAGGCCAGCACAGGGGTAGGCAGAAACAACCCAAGGCAGTTGGAGCTCAGGCCAGAGGTGACAGTGGCTTGGACAACGGGGTGAGGAGATGGCTGTTTCTTGATACATTTTAAAATTCAGCTGGCACTGTCTTCATACTACAAAATGGGAGTGAATAGGCCCATATAAATATGGTGAAAGTGTGAACACATAGTAGGTCCTTGGAAAAGGAAAGCAGTTGCCGTTTTACAAGCAGCTTAAAATCTGTCTAGAAAAATGAAGCTGGTTCTCTTGGCCCTTCATGGGTGGCTGAGCTCTGTGCTTTTGGATTATGTTGTTTTAAAAAACTGTGATCTGTCACCTCCTTACTTGCAATGAATGTCCTGGAAACACTGCAGTGAGGAGAAGATGAGGCCACGACCAAGTGTGACCTCAGAGAAGCAGGCATTTTCTGGTCTGATTAGCAGCGGAACTGAGAAAGTCCATGATTTTAGCAGGAGCCAAAGAATCGGGTGGGGAGGGAGGGATGTGTGTCCAGGGAGGACAGCTATGAGTCACCTGTTACTTGGTAACAGGGGTGGAGCTGTCAGTGGGCCCAGTCCATCTGGGACTATAAATAGCCACCAGCTCTAGGTGATCTGGGAGTCAGAGGGAGTGTTGCAACCTGCTTGCATACTTTCCCTTCTGGACCCTTGGGAGAATTTGCAATAAACAGCCAAGGGCTCCCAGGATCACAGGAAGCTGGGAGAGGTGTGCCTCAGCCCTGGCCCAGGGCACTCCTCCTTCTGCACTGCCTCTCCCAACAGGGTACAGGGATGGCAGGATCACAGGCAGAGCTGTGATAGCTCACAGCAGAAAGGGATCTCAAGTGAGAGACATTCCTCCATTGCTAGACACTTAAATCATTTCTAGGTAATAAGCTATTTTTTTTTTTTTTTGAGACGGAATCTTACTCTGTCACCTTGGATAAAGTGTTGTGGCATCATAGCTCACAGCAACCTCAAACTCCTGAGTTCAAGTGATCCTCTTTCCTCAGCCTTCTGGGTAGCTGGCGGTACAAGTGCCTGCCACCACGCCTGGCTAGTTTTTCTATGTTTAGTAGAGATGTGATCTCTTTGTCGTTCAGGCTGGTCTCAAACTCTGAGCATAAGCAATCTGCCCACCTTGGCCTCCCAGAGTGCTAGGATTACAGGTGGCACCCAGCCTCTAATCAGCTTTTTATACCCCATCTCCTTTATTTCTTGCAACAACCTTGTAAGCTCAGTATTGTTAACTTCATTTCATAGGTGAGGACTCCAGGGTTCAGAGAGGTTCAGTAACTTACCCAAGGTTACACAGCTGGGAAGAAGTGGGAGTGCGGATTTAAACCCAGCCTGTCTGACTCTGAAGCCTGGTGTCTATTCACTACACTGTACTGTAGTACTGCAGCAGGAACATGCTTCGGCTGAACTTCTGTGGATATTCATGGTCATTTCCTTGGGATAGATCCCAGGAGAGGGCATAAGTCAAAGGGCAGGCGCAGTTTCCACATTCTTTAGCATCAGTGCCAAGGGATATTCCAGAAAGTGATACCATTCTCCACCCTGTCCTATTTCTCGTAAATGACACCAGTGTGTGCCGGAAAGATAGCAGACACTGTCACCCGCACCTGCTCTGCTGCCCCCCTGGTGTTCTTGCTAATTTGATATATTGCAAAATGTAATAAAATAACAGTGTCCTGTTTTGATATGGATTTCTAAAATTCCTGGAGAATGTGGACTTTTTCTTTTGAGAGGCAGCAGTATAGGTTTTATCTGCTTTGCAGTGACCTCAGCATGCTCAGGGCAGCTGGACTCTGACTAGTTGTCTCCCAGAGAGCAGGAGGGCCCAGCTAGGAGGCTGTCCAGCTCTGTCCCCTCAGGCTCCGTGACGCACTCACATCACTTTAATGGGGTACCACAACCACTGCCATCCGTTTCTCCTCCAAGGAACAGCTAATGTCATCACATCTGTATGAAAAATAGAAAAGTAGCCGAGTCCGGAGCCATGAGTGCTCCAAGCCTTCCCACCTCTTGGGTGCTATCTTGCTATTGGTGGTGTATATGTAAAAATACTATAACTTGCCTAAGACAGACCCCAGATAGTCTGTTCCTCCTGAGTCAGGATGCATTTGCTTGGCCTCAGACAGGGTGTTGAGGAGAATTCAGCACCAGCTTGGAGCTGGCTTCAGGCCTCCTGGGACTAGCCATGACGTCCTGGATGGTGGCCAGCAAGAGCTCATCGGGGGCTCATCTGGGCTGCCATCTATACCTTTGAAGTAGGTCCTGTTTTCTAGATGAGGAGCTGGGGTTCAAATCCAAGCAGCTCCAAGGAGTGGCTGTCAACTGCCTGGCGTTGTGTCTTACCTATCGGGAGAGTGGACACCTCCTTGGAGAAGTGGAGATGACTCAGTCCTGGGAAGGAAGGCTGTCTAGCTGCAGTGGTAGCTGTAACTGGTTATCAAGAGCTTGATGAAGAAGTTTTGTACATGGACATTGGTGGTCTCACTTTGTCATCAATAATCCACTGGCTGCTTTCAAAAGGAAAATGGAAAAATGAAATTTAAAGGTCTCCATATTTACCTTATACAGAAACTGCAGCCTTTGCAAATTTCAGGTGTCAGCTTTAATGTGTAGGAGGGCTACCTAGGTTTTCAAAACTCCAGCTTGGGGGTTGTGAGTTACTCTGCCCTGTCACAACCCCAGGCTGACCAGGTGACCATGTCAGGCCAAGACTACAGGGGCTCCTCTGTCCCTCCAGCAGGGAGGGGCCACGGCTAGCCAGTGTGGGCCACAGGCTGCTCTCTCTGAAGCTGTGCGTGGCTCCCACATGCCACTGGCACTGGAGGGGAGCCTATGGGGAGAACATGCATGTGTCCTGGACACCAGCTCAGAGCCTCTGAGCTGGCAGCAGCTGACAGGAAGTCCCAAGGATGGGTATCTCATTCCCTGTCTGGCAGAGTTCCCTTGGCCCCTCCATGGGACACCATAGCATCAACTTCCTGGAGCAGGTGTGTGTTGGGCGTAGGGGACAAGGAAGATTGACATTCAGGTATCCTCAGGCTCTAGATTGTGGGCATCTGGACTTGTCCACATCATGGTCAAGGTCTGTGAGGATGTGAAGGCCAAAAGATTGTGGGAGGCATTTATGGGACCAGGCCACCGACCATAGGACTTCGACTGTCCTCCCCTGGGATCTGGCACATAGCAGGTACTTGGGCTTTAACTTCCCTCCTGAGCTGATACATCTGGTGCTGGAGACAGCTCACCTGAACCAGGAAGGGGCTCATGGGGCAACCTGGTAGGGTCAAGGAGGCTTGGAGAGCATCCAGTCAGGGTGGGAGGCTGGCTCCTCTAGGAAGCCTGGTTCTTTTCCAAAACCTGCCACAACAAAAGTCTATTCCACTCCAGGCCAAGGGCAGTAACTGCAGCCAGTCTGTGGAGCCCGGACCCCCAAAGATTGAGTGAGGGCCCTGGACTTGGTGCCAAGGCCTCGAGGCCAGTGTCAGGTGGGGTGTGTGTGTGGAGGGGGCTCCCCCTGGGACTGGGGGGCTGCAGAGACGGTCATCTCCACTGCTAATGCCACCTCTCTCTCCTCTCCCAGCTTGCGGCTGCGACCTGGCCGAGGGCGGCTTCTTCGTGCGGCAGGGCGAGTACATCTGCACGCAGGACTACCAGAGGCTCTACGGCACCCGCTGCTTCAGCTGTGACCAGTTCATTGAGGGCGAGGTGGTGTCCGCACTAGGCAAGACCTACCACCCCGACTGCTTTGTGTGTGCAGTCTGTCGGTGAGTGGGGCCTGGCCTCCCTCCTCCCGCAGCCCCGGCCCTCTCCTCTCCTCACTGTACCTCTTCTAGCACTCTGCCCTGTGGGCATCCCGGGGAGTGCCCAGAGGCTGTCTGGTTGCCCCTGGTCCCCAGTGCCCGGCATGGTGACTGCTGGGGAGGGACTGGGCAAGAGGCCAGCGGGCACTTTCCCACATGCTTGGCCCCTCCCTCCCCCTCCGCAGCATCCAGCTCACTCCTCCCAAGGGAAATGTTCCATTTCTAGAAAACAAAGACTAAAAAAATAAAACAGAGTTGATTTTCTGCCCTGTTCCCCTGTCTCACCACACCCAGCTTGCTGGGGACTTTCTCAGTGTTGTTTCCAAAGCAGTTCTCTGTAGTTACAGCATGTGCCCGAGACAGAAATGGAACCTTTTGTCAGAGGATGCTGGAGAGAGGGGGTGGCAATGAGAAGGGACATTTCTGATGGGAGAGTCCCTGTGTGTCACTGCAGTGTGACTTGGGTCAGAGTTTTCCCAGGGATTATCTGAATGTTTGATCTTTGTGTATACGTAGCTTAGAGATGATGGTTGACATGCTCACAGTTGGTTCAATAGATCACCTCTGGAGAAGCCAGTATTTTAAAAATAATAATTGATGGCTCTGGTTATGTTGGAGTAACTGGAACTGGACTCATCTACCCACCATAAACAACTAGAAAACTGGACAAAGTACGTGAAATAACTGTTTCCAGACTGCAGAGTACAGGCAGCTCAGGGCAAAGAGAAGGGAGAAACAAAAGGAGCCCTAGGATCACCCCAGCTTTCTGCCTGGAGGCAGTGTCTTGAAGGCTAGTGCAGGGAGGGGAGCCCCACAGGGACATGGCGGCCTCCCAAGTTCAGAGGTTGGGAAGGCAGAGTAGCGCAGGGCACGAGCTCCAGAGACCAGCACGGGCGCTGTGAGTACAGACACAGAGGACACCACGAGGTGGGGCAGAGACTGGCAGGGTTGCCGTGACATGAGGTTTAGACATACTTGAGCTCTGACCAGAGAGATTTCTTGTTGAACATGAAAGAGGGACACGGAAAGGGTCCTGCCACATTAACAAGACTAAAGCACCCCTAGAGTGAAAGCTGCAATAACTGTGCCCTAGCAAAGTACAAAGCAAGCCTCTGAGAGATGGTGTTGGCTGCACGTAAACCCCCGCCTGCAAGAGCAAAGCCCGACACTTTTCATAGGAAGATAAAAAAATCCAACACTTAACAATGTAAGGTTTATCATATATAACATCCAATTAAAAATTACTAGGCATAAAAAGATGTTGGAAAATGTGACTCAAAGCCAGAAGAGCAGTCTAGCATTAAATCTAGATTCACAGCCATGGTGAAATGAGCTGACATTGTAAATATGTTTCCGTATTTAAAGGAAATATGACCTGAGTGGGAGAGTGTTATGGAAGATATAAAAAGAAACCAATTCTAGAAATGAAGAATATAATTCCTGAAATGGAAAATTCCCTAGAAGGAATTTGCAGTACCTTGGGTATTGCAAAAGACAAGATCGGACACAGCAATAGAGACCTTTTGAACTTAACCAAAGAGAGAACAAAAAGACTTAAAAACAGGAAGAGTGCCTCGGCAATCTGCAGCTATAGTTCTGTCTGTCTCGGTTGGGGGAAGGCTCAAAAATATTTGAAGAAATAATGGTTGAAATTTTTCCAGACTTGATGAAAACCATAAACCCATGGATCCAACAATTTCAACCAACTTTAAGCCGAATAAATACAACAAAACCCTGCCAACTCCATTGTGTTCATCCATTTTGTGTTATAGTCCATATAAAGGAAATAGCTCATGCTTGGTAATTTAGTTTTTTTTTTAGAAAAAGAGGTTTTATGGGCTCTTGGTTCTGCAGGCTGTATAAGAAGCATGGTGCCAGCATCTGCTTCTGGTAGGGGCTTCAGGGAGCTTCCAGTCAAGGCAGAAGGTGGAGGGGAGCAGGCGTGTCACACAGCAAGACAGGAAGGAGGAGACTGTGACAGGCTTTTTTACACAAAAATCTCTCCTGTGAAGTAATAAAGGGAGAACTTGTTCATTACGGAGGGAGGGCACCAAGCCATTCATGGGGGATTCCACCCCCCAGGACCCAAACTCCTCCCACAAGGCCCTACCTCTAACTGGGGATCAGATTTAGACATGAGATTTGGAGTGGCCAAACATCCGAACCATATCATCCATCATAATCAAGTTGCTGAAAATCAGTGATTAAAAAATCTTAAAACTAGCAAGATGAAAAAAATATGTATCGACAGAAGCACAAAGTAATGACTTCTCATCAGGAACTGTGCCTGCCAGGAAACAATGGAACCATATCTTTAACGTACTGAAAGAAAAATAGCTATCGAACAGTTTTATATCAGGCAAAAAAACACAGGGAAGAAGCCTTCCAAAAGCGAGGGCAAGACTGCTAAAGGGGGTGCGGTTTCTTTTGTGGGTGAAAAATATGTTCTAAAATGGATTCTGGACTCAGCACCCGTAGCTCAGTGAGTAGGGTGCCAGCAGCATACACAGAGGCTTGCTGGTTCGAGTCCAGCCTGAACCTGCTAAACAACAGTGACAACTGCAACCAAAAATAGCCGGGCATTGTGGCAGGTGCCTGTACTCCCAGCTACTGGGGAGGCTGAGGCAAGAGAATCACCTAAGCCCAAGAGTTAGAGATCACTGTGAGCTGTGACACCACAGTACTCTACCAAGGGCAACATAGTGACACTCTGTCTCAAAAAAATAAATAAATAATAAAAAATAAAATATGATAGATTCTGGGGATGGTTGCACAACCCTGAATACACACTAAAACCTGACGAATTGCACATTATGTTGTATATAAGTAAAATCTAAAAGCTGTTACAAAAAAATAACACACAAAAGCTAAGAGAATTTGTTGCCAGCAGATCTGCCTATAAGAAAGTTCCAGAAAGTCTTTGGGCTGAAGGAAACACAAAATGGACAAACGCAAAAGCAAACCCCCAGCTGGCAGGGAGTAGTTAGGACACACCCGTCTGACGGAGGCAACGTAGACAAGGGATTTTTATAACTCAGTAAGAGGCCGAACAAGGAACACATGATAATAGTGAGCGAAAGAGTTTAATAGATATGTCACCAAGGAGTGTGTATTAATGACCAATAAGTACAGTGTGGCACATTGTTGGTCATCAGGGGAGCGGGATCCAGTCACAGTGCAGTGCCAGTCTACATCCATTAGGTGGCTAAACCCACAAAGATGGAGAATGGCAAGTGTTGGTGCGGATGTAAAGCAAAAGGAATTTTCAGACATTGTCGTCAATGCAAGATGGTACAGCTCCTATGGAAACTGGTTCAGTTGTTTCTTAGAAAGTTAAATATATTTAGCATGTGATCAGAAATCTCACTGTGTGATTTTTTTTTTGTTTGTTTGTTTTGAGACAGGATCTTCCTCTGTTGTCCTAGGGTTAAGTGCCATGGTGTCATAGCTCACAGCAATCTCAAACTCTTGGGCTCAAGAGATCCTCTTGCCTCATCCTCCCAAGTAGCTAGGACTACAGGCGCTGCCACAATGCCTGGCTAGTTTTTCCATTTTTAGTAGAAATGGGTCTCACTCTTGCTTAGGCTGGTCTTGAACTCCTGAGCTCAAGAGATCCGCTTGCCTTGACCTCCCAGAGTGCTAGGATTACGGCGTGAGCCACCACACCTGGCCAGAAATCCCACTGGTAAGTATTTCACTAAAAGAAAGGAAAACATAAGTACACAGAAAGATTTGTTGACAAACGTTTTCAACAGCTTTATGTGTAACAGCCCCAAACTGGGAACATCCCAAATGGCCTTCACCAGGTGCGTGAAATACCTTTCTGTGGTTTGTCCATATGGTGGACACTACTCAGCCATAACAAGGAAGGAATATTGATGTGTGTCTCAGCGTGGGTGAATCTCAGACACGTGTTGCTGAACTAGACACCAGAGACTACGTGCAATGTGATTCCATTAATATGCTGTCCCGAAAGAGAGAAATCCAATCCACAGTGACAAAGCAGATCATGGTGCCTGTGTCTGGCAGTGGTGGGTGGGACGTGACCATAAACGCCACAGGGGACTTTCTGTGTGGACAGAATGTTCTATATTTTGATTGTTCTGGTGGTTACATGAGTGTATAGATTTGTCAAGATACACCTCAGTAAAGCTGAATAAATAAGATAACAGCTCTCATGTACTGAGCTCCCCGTGCCCAGGTCCTGCAGCATGCCTAGTGGCTGACTGACTGCATGAATGTCAACCCTGAGAAGCAGGTATTATTGGCCCATGTTACAGGTGAGAGACTGGAGTTCAGAGAGTTGGAGTAAGTTGCTCTGGGTTACACAACCAGAGATTCTCTCAGAGCACATCCAGGCATGCAGGGTTCCCGCTCCATCCCAAGGCCCACCGTGAGCAGGGAGGCACCAGACTCTGAGATAGGAGAGGCAGACCACAGCACTAAGGCAGATGACCAGGCACGAGGCCTCAGCAGGCTGCATAGGCTCCAGGCAGCGGACGGGTGAGAGGACTGCAGGACCATCCAGGGCCCAGCCCAAGGGTTACCAAGAGCAGGGACTGGCTGATTGGGAGCCGGAGAACACACCTGCTGCATGAACCCTGAACGCTAACCCCACATAGTGCAGGGCTAACAGCAGGGCTTTATCAGAGGAGGCTTAACAGGTGCGTGCTCAAGAAACACTCCTCTGGCTGCCGACGGTGTGACTGAGGCAGGCCCATCTGGGCAGGGCGGTGGGGCACAGCCCTGCACAAATGAGCAGGCTGAGCTCTGGCTCCTGGGGGAGCTTTAGTCCTTTGCTTATTCATTCATTCATTCATTCAACAATGAATTCATTATTTATTGAGTGCCTGGATCTAGAAGCCCAAGATAGTGTTTAAGCTGGGGGCTTAAGGGACACGTCCTGGTCTAACACCTCTACAGGCTTCTGCCCACAGAGGTGCCAGGCTCTCTAGCCAGGCTGAGTTCTGAAGGAAGTGGCCCAGTGGCTGCCAGCAGCTCAGTGGCAATAGGTGTCAAAGACAGACAAGTCTCAGGCTGTGCTTCTGGCCCTGGTTGGCAGGAGGCCTGGCCTTTGTTTGAAGGGCAAAAGCTACCTGAGCTTTTCAGCCTCCGGGAGAGTCCTTGGAACTGTGGGTGGGGGGCAGTCTCTCCTAGACCCCACCCAACCTTCCTCTAGGCACTTACTATGATCCAGAATTTAAATGGGCACCAAAAACTCAGTAGTGAAGGTAAAAGATATTTTATTTTATTTTTATTTATTTATTTATTTATTTAGAGACAGAGTCTCACTTTATTGCCCTGGATAGAGTGCTGTGGCATCACAGCTCACAACAACCTCCAGCTCTTGGGCTTAGGCGACTCTTTTGCCTCAGCCTCCCGAATGGGACTATAGGCACCCAGCTATTTTTTTTTTTTTTT